CCCGCCCCGCCCAACGGCGCTCCCTCCACCCAGCCGCGGCAAGACTATTTGGCTACTAGCCTACAGAGATTTTTTGCCGAGAGACGTCGGTGTGAAAAACCCACTGGGCTAAAATATTTACGGTTTCATTTTCTACAGGACCGCTTCAAAACATAAATCCCTTACCGATATCACTTTCTTTATTGAAGGTAATTCGCCCAGCTTTTGTACGTGCAAATCGCCGGCCTTCACCCGTGAAACAGGACGTAGTTTGTGTGTGCCTCTGAGAGGGCGACAAGTTGGCGCCTCGGCCCCGCTGAAAGAAGCCAAGAGGTGTGTGATGCAGGGTGCTGAAAGGTGAGCAGCGAGGAGGGAAGGGGGAGGGGGTAGGGTGTGTTGGGGGGCGGGGGGAGGGTACCCCTCTCCCAACGTCACTTAACGGACCGTCATGCAGACGGAGCATGATATATGGGAGGCAACGGGTGCACACACACACACACACACACACACGTGTGCCGGAGGGGGTAGGCCACCACTGGGGACGGGGGACAGGGCGCTGTTGCGGGCCTGCCCACCTAGCAGGCGCTCACCCCGCCCCGCCCCGTCACGCCCCGCCCCGCTGGGGGGAGGCTCCATTGGGGGTCAAAGGTAATGCTATGAGACTAATGCCCCCCCATCACTGGAGAGGCAGTGGCAGCAGCGGCGACGCACACGATGGGTCGAGGGGGAGTGGAGGGGGTGAAAAATATACCACTGCACGCGGCCCATGACATGGAGAAGGGGGAGGGCGACAAAACAGGTGGAGAGCGACGGAGAGAGAGAGAGAGAGAAGGAAGAGGTGGGGGTATGGTATACAATGAAAGTGTGGGGAAAAGTAGAGGTGAGAGGTAGCGCCTCACCTTAAGTAAGGCCGTAAGTAGGAATTAAACAAAACTGTGGAGGTAGCAAAGCACGAGTCGGGGGGGAGATAAGAGAACGCCCAGGGCAGGGCCTGCTATAGGTTCGGATTTAACTTGGCATTTTAAGGCCACAGCCGCCGCTGGGTGACTGCTGGCGGGGCGGGGCGTGGCGGGGCGTGGCGGGGCGTGGCGTGGCGGGGCGTGGAGGGGCTGGGTTAATATGCGATATAATGCGCGCAGCCTTGGCGCCCGGAGCGCGCCCGGAGCGCGCCCGGAGTCGGGCCGGCCCGCTGTGCAGCCGTGCGTGGCGGGCCTGCATACCTCCCGGGCGCCCTGGAGCCGCCGGAAGAACGCGGCGCTGCGAACTCGTTATGCAGACGACTTTAAAACCAAACTGGTGGGGCACATTTTTCTGGTGGGGGGCCTGTTTGATAGAAGCTCTAGAGGACCCTAGTGCACTGTACTCTGTGCGTTCTCTTAACACGTTCAGTGCCACACGACCACCATGTTTCCAATTAGCTAATTTTAAGTTTTAATTTCTCAAACCCTGGGGGTTGATGCTAGACCAAAAA